GCTCCTGATCAGGTAACTCCCCGAACAGGAGAACCAATCTTGATGTGATCTTAATACATTCCACCCCTGGTCTGCCAAAACTCCTCATACCTGTCGACGATGTGCTGTAAGACTACCGTATCTTGTTGTTCCTCTCCATCCTATATCTTTACGTGGTGGTATCACACTGCCATTCTATAGCCAAATGTCATCGAATTCAGAGAACAAAATTAATCTTAAACTCACCTTATCCACATATTTTCGAGCAAGGCCGAAATCATAGAGGAAAATAATTTTTGACTGCTTGTTACACCTTTGTCCCGGAGCAAAATTCCCGGGTTTAATATCTCGTGACAAATAGCCGATTTTATGCAGCTCTTCGATGGCCTGCCAGCTCGTTGTATTGTTTTCCCACACAATTCTCCAAATTAGACCCTTACCTTAACAGCCTGCATAGCCAACCTCAATGATGTGCTTAGATTGAAACGTCGATTAGGCATCTCAGATCTGAGCTTATGCAAATCCTTGTATAATAATGTCATAACAACGTAGACGTAGTCTGGTTTGTTAGACCCCTAAACTATTCGTTTTTATGATTACGAGGTGACTGTGTGACAAACTAATTAAAATTACATAATCAATTAACTCGCAGAAATGTTTCGCTTTTGCCGCATTTGCAGCTTTAAGTACTCCAACTTCTATGTGCAACATGGACTTACTATATTTTTCGGTTTTTACAGCCACTGGCCTGAAAAACTTCTTAGCAGAAACCTTCTGGCACCATCTTATATAATCTAAAAGGTGGTCTTCTCAGTAAAGTTATTCTTCAGTTTTTATTGAGGGCAGTTAAGATCAGAGTTCCCTTTGTGTAAGGGTGTGTAATATACATTTCTACTGTTAGAACTCATGTCTAAACCGCCAGGACAGTCTCCACCAACACCGCTTCACGCCCTTCTCGATGCTACAGGCACATCAACTACCACGTAATCGCCTTGCAGGAAACAAAGTCCAGGAAGGCGGACGTAAGGCAGCTGAGTGATGGCAGGCTCGTGGAGAAAGTTCCATCACGGAACGTTGGAGGCGTTAGATTTGTCGTACACGCATCTGTTCTCTACCTTGTCGATTCGCATGAGATCCTATCATCTCGCCTGGCTATCCTTCGACTCCGTCCTCTGTGTGAGAAAACAATCACTATCATGAGCTGCTGTTCTCCATCAGCAGCTGATGATTCGGAACTTGATGCTTTTTATGAGGATTTGAAGGAGGTCATTCGCAGAGAGAAGTTCTTTTATAAATTTGTCATTGGTGAATTACACGAAAATCGGTATGCCAGGAGAAGGGGAGCACAGGATCGAGAGATTTGGATCAAGATTCCGGAATGAGAATGGTAACCGTCTTGATAGGCTCTTAACCGCCGCACAACGTTTTCATGGCAACTCCATCTTCATGAAGAAAGAACACTGGCGATGTACAGTCACCCAACGTTACGGCTCATGCGGAGATCGACCACTTTCTCATAACCAAAGGTGGTGCTTACTGGACATCTCAGTGGTACCATCCTTCAGCAGTGGTTCAGATCACCGCCTCCTTCGA